CCCACCACCTCAATACCCAGCAGCCCTACTGGGTCCACCCAACCTACAAGCACACAAACTACTAGTATGCAGCCTCCCACAACCTCAATGGCGACAGTAATACAGAGTACCAGTGGTAAGTTGAAATGTTTGGTTTAGCAACTCTGTCAACTCTACTGCTCTGATGTGGCCCTTCGGACCTCACAAATGCTCTGCCTCCAGCCTCTCTTTTGAGGCACGATATAATTGTTCACAAAGGTATGATACATCCACATTCCTGGGTTGGTCAGCTACCTCTTAGTAACCTTCCCTTCATAGTGCACTTCCCAGAGATTAAATATCACTCACCTTCCCACTTTTACCCACTCATCCATCCCTCCATCCCTCCTTTCTTCCTTCTTTTGACAGTGACACTAGAAACCATGTGGACAACTTTTCCCACCACCAACTTAGGTAAAACCATAATGTGTCAGAAACATTATTCTTCAGAAATTTCTTATTTTTCAAGATTCCCACATTATAAAGTTGTGCTTTATTTATATTTCAGTTTGACGAAGCCTATCATAATCACCAAAAGTTTTTCAGGAAGCAAACAATTTAAAAAAAAATTGTCCAGGGTAATTTGCCATTTTTTTTCTTTCCACACGTTTTCTTTTTCAATGTGAGTGATACAACAATTCTGAATTCCCACCTTTACTAAGGCTAGAAAGGAAATATGATTCTCTGTTACTATTTTGCAGTATTTCGGATTCAAAAGGAAATAGTTTTTGTAGGATTTGTTTTCAATGGAATAAGCTACTTTCCCCTTCTTTATTTCATTGTCCTCTGTATATTTTGTTCTGGTTTCCTACTTGATAATGTGTTGCAAATCCCAGAATGCTTTAATGCAAATTTTTGTCAGCTGTATTTTTTAAATGTTTTGCATGCTTTGCAATGCCTCATTTTTCCTTCCTGGAGTCTTGTTTTATTGGTACTATATTTGCAATAGTTCATTCTCCCATTCTGACAAGTATCTGTAACTTCAATATTTCCTGTCCACAGGATGGAAGACAGCTCTCTCAACACCACTGAGGACAACTTTCTCAACTTCTCATCTCTCAAGTTCTGTCTTTTCAATCTCTTTTTCTACAGAATCAACTTCAATTGTTGTGTCCTCTCTTACCACAAGATCACATAATATCTCCAGTTCGTCTTCTCCTAGCACTACTTGGAAAACAAGTCTAAGCACATCTTTGGTTCCCAGTGTGCCAACAAGTGCAACCTCTACTTTCTCCAGCATTCCAGTAACCACACCCACCAGGACCACTTGGACTACTGAGCCACCTACTGTCACTCTTACTTCTACTACTTTTTCTTCCACAAGTACTCCTTATACTAGCGGTAAGTATTTCATGGCTGATGGGAAAGTTGAAGGAACTATTGATTTTGCACATTACAACAATTATTTTGTAATGTGCAAAATCATATGCAAAATAATGTGCAGAATTTTGTGTTGACACTTAAGGAATCAAATTTTATAATTTTCATAAAACAAACCTGACTTATTTTGTATTAGAAAAGTTTTTAATTTGCACGTTATAAAATATTGTTGTTTTAAATGTAGAATAGTTTAATAGACAAATCATTAGGGTAATAACAACTTGACACTTTACACCACAGTCAACGCTTCAATTGTCAGCAGCTGTTGAGAGACATTAACTAAGCATTTAAATATAGAAATGAATTTATTTCCCATTGTAGCCCAGATGACTGTCATGTAATTCAGCTGACTCTGCATTAATAAGCTACATGCTCAATCACCTTTTTTACTATCCAAGAAAGCAGAGGACAACACAAGCAGCTTGTCTTCTGTACCTTCTGTGTAAAGTCTTTTTTCTCTTTTATTGGAAATTGTGAGTTTACAAATGTCTCTTGGGCTTGAGTCTCCTCTTTTCTCCTTCAGACATGGAACACTTGAGAATCAAATGGACAATTTCTGATCTTAGGAATGCTTCTTCATTTTTATCTTTAAACCCCCTCAAAATATACTAATAAAAATTATGTGCCAGTATATATTAATGATAGGAAAGAATCATTAGATAAGAATAGAATAAGAATTAAAGGAATAATGTGTACATTTTCATGACTCACATTGATCGTAATTTGGAAAGCATCTCCAGTGCTATTTGTTCTTCTTTTTTATCAAGAGATTCAGGCATACAGAAGCAAATGCAGTTTTACAACTTTTTCGTAATTCATTTTCTTAATCAAAAGCTTCACTAATTTACATGTCACAAGTGCTTTCCCATCTCAAAAACTATTTGTCCAGATCAGATTTGAGTTCCAGAAGAATGTGGGTGGGTTGCTTTCATAAAACAGCCTCTGTGATGCAGTGGTGGGTTCTGGATCCTGTTGCAACTGGTATGCTGCAATGGGGCCTGGCTTCCACCACGTGAACGCGCACAGCACACATATGCGTACTTACCGCCTGTGATACTCCAGCTGCTTGGCGGAGCATCACGCAGGGGCCGTACGCTCCATGTGCATGCGTGAAAGCCCTGATCGGCTCAAATAGCGGTAAGGAGAGTGGGCAAGCAGGCAGGTCCTCCGGAACACCATACAGAATGGTACCTGGTGCTCCCAGCAGGCACCGGTACGCCCATACTGGGGCGTATCGGTGTATTCCACCACTGCTGTGATGGCTCCAAAAGGTTACCATTACCATACAGTTTTTGTTTGTTTGTATATTGAATTTATTTGCTAACCATCTCATAGTGAACAACTTTGGGCTTTTATACCATCCAAAGTTTTATAACGTCCAAAGAGCTTTTATTATTATTTTTTAAAAAATACAAATAATACAAACATAGTAAATACAAAAAAAGAGAAAAGGAAAAAAGAAACAAATATTATAGTGCACCCACACCTCTCGGAGACCTTTTTTTTATCCCTATATTTC